AGAGGCAGGCAGAGAGAGGGGGAAGCAGGCTCCCCGCTGAGCAGAGAGCCCGATGTGGGGCTCAATCCCAGGACCCTGAGATCATGACCAGAGCTGAAGGCAGAGGCTTTAACCCACTGAGCCACCCAGGCGCCCCTTGATTTACTTATTTATTTTAGAGAGAGCGAGCACACAAGCAGGAGGGGCAGAGGAAGAGAGAGAGGAAATCTCAAGCAGACTCTGCGCTAAGCACAGAGCCCAATGCTCCATCTCACCACCTCAACACCATGACTGAGCGGAAAACAAGAGTCAGATGCCTAACTGGATGCCCCGCCTAAGCACCCTCCGGTAAGGTTTCTGATTACTTTTTGCAGCTAAAGATGGTTTTTACAACTGAAATAATATTCTGGCAAAACAAAACACTGCTAAACATTGATATTTGATAAAAAGCTGCCTTCTATAATTTCTGTAAATTATACTTGTTCTGAAAAAGATGCAATGCCCTAATGATAAAAAGATTTCTCAACAGGGTGCCTGAGTGGCTCAGTGGGTTAAGCCTCTGCCTTTGGCTCAGATCATGATCTCAGGGTCCTGGGATTGAGGCCCGTATTGGGCTCTCTGCTCAGCAGGGAGCCTGCTTCCCCCCATCTCTCTCTGCCTGTCTCTCTGCCTACTTGTGATCTCTGTCTGTCAAATAAATAAATAAAATCTTAAAAAAAAATTTTCTAAACAAGCAAAAGTAAATACCAAGTCCGTTAAAACAGGCATAAATGTGAAAGCCAAAAAAAAAAATTTTTTTTAAATAATAACAGAGGAGATTATCTATGTGGCCTTAGAGTAGAAAAATTAATTTTAAACAGGACACAAATGACAGCAACGTTAATAAATTTAATAAACTAATCCAAGGATCTGGAAAGTCTTCCTTGTAAAGAGCCAGACAGCAAATACTTTAGGTCTCGAGGGCCAGATAGTCTTCATCATTTCACTACTTCATGCTACCAATGAAGCCACTGATTACACACAAATGAATGACCAGCGTAGTAAGAGGTAGGGATTGTGAGAGGAGCACAAGGGAGGCTTTGGAAGTGCTGCCAGTGTTTGCTCTGACCTACGTATAAGTTACACGGGCATTAGATTTGTGGTAATTCACTGGGCTCTACACTTAACAATCTGTGGATTTTTTTAATACATTTGTTGTATGTATAAAAATAAGATTAAAAAATGAAATACATTTTAGGTTAGTGATCAAAGAAGGCATCAGAAAGGAAATGGAAACCTGCGTAGGAAAAAAAGCACCACATATTGATACTTGATACTGATTCTGCAGCTAAAGTAGTAGTAGAGGGAAATTATATCCTTACATGGGCATAATAAAGAGCTTTACAATAAACTCATCTTCAACAAAAAGTTACAAAAAACATCCTATAACCAAAGATATCTAAAGGAAAGAATAAAGGTAAAAGCAGAAGTTAATAAAATAACAGTACAGGGGCGCCTGGGTGGCTCAGTGGGTTAACCCTCTGCCTTCGGCTCGGGTCCTGATCTCAGGGTCTTGGGATTGAGTCCCGCATCGGGGTCTCTGCTCGACAGGGGGCCTGCTTTCCCCCCTTCTCTCTGCCTACTTGCGATTTCTCTCTCAAATGAATAAATAAAATCTTTAAAAAAAAAAATAACAGTGGAGGGGCGCCTGGCTGCTAGAGTCAGTTAAGCATCGGTCTCTGCATTTCTGCTCAGGTCATGATCTCAGGGTTGTGAGACGATCCCCACATCGGGCTCCAGGCTCAGCATGGAATCTGCTTAAGACACCCTCTTCCTCTCCCTGTGCCCGGCTTCCTGGGCTCATGCATACCCGTGCTCACTCTCTCAAATAAATAAATCTTTTTTTTTTTTTAAGATTTTATTGATGTATTTGACAGAGAGATCACAAGTAGGGAAAGAGGCAGGCAGAGAAAGAAAGAGGAGAAAGCAGGCTCCCTGCTGAGCAGAGAGCTCGATGTGGGGCTCGATTCCAAGACCCTGAGATCATGACCTGAGCAGGAGGCAGAGGCCTAACCCACTGAGCCAGCCAGGCGCCCCAAATCTTTTTTTTTTTTTTTTAAAGGGAAAAAAAAAACAGAGTGAAAATCAATAAAACCAAAAGCTGGCTCCATGAAGAATAAAATACTATCTGTGATAAATATTAGTCCAAACAAATTAGAAAAGCCATTAGGAATAATAAGGAACAAATTAAATATTTTTTTCCAAATTTTTATTTAAATTCTAGTCAGTTAACATACAGTGCAATACTGGTTTCAGGAGCAGAATTCAGTGATTCATCTCTTGCATACAACACCCAGTGCTCATCACAAGTGCCTTCTTTAATACCATCACCCATATAGTCTATCCCCACCACCTCCCTCCACCAACCCTGTTTGTCCTGTCCTTAAGAGTCTCTTATGGCTTGTTTCCCTCTCCTTCCCACCCCCCATATATTCATTTCTTTTGTTTCTTAAATTACACAAATGAGTGAAATCAAATTAAATATTTTTTAAATGATTAAGAATACTATAGACAAGGTTATGGAAAAAAATACTGACAAACAGAATTACAGTGATCATCAAAAGAGTAATACTTTTTGACCAAGTAGGGCTTCTTTTAAAAAATAAAGGTTAGTTTTTCAGAAATATGGAAATAGATCTAAAAAGAAAAATTATATCATCATTCCCATAAATGTTAAGAAAGCATTTGGAAAAATTATTCTAATTTTCAATAAAATAAGACTCCAAGGATACTCTGTGAACATGACAAACCCCCCTCAGTCCAAAGTCAGCAACATGCATAATGGAGAAGAAACACGGCAGGAATTCCCACTCACATGCATTGTGTTAGTTCTTTTATTGTTCTGCTTATTTTTTAGAGATGCTCAAATATAAAATCAGATCCCTTCACCACATTATACTAAAAAAAATTCTAGATTAAGGTACTAAATATTAAAAAAAAAGTCTTATTAGAAAAAAGACAGAATACAGAAAAATGTCATCAGGGCCCCGGGGTCAGGAAAACAAGAATAAAAAATAGAAGAGGCAAAAGGGTTGTATCACAATGTAAAATTTCCAGAAATAATACTATTATATTAAAAAACAAAGCATATGGAGAGAAGAAAATTGGTACAAATTATCATGAAAGATTACAACCTAGGGGCGCCTGGATGGCTCAGTGGGTTAAAGCCTCTGCCTTCAGCTCAGGTCATGATCCCAGGGTCCTGGGATGGAGCCCTGCATCGGGCTCTCTGCTCGGCGGGGAGCCTGCTTCCCTTCCTCTCTCTGCCTGCATCTCTGCCTACTTGTGATCTCTGTCAAATAAATTTAAAAAAATCTTAAAAAAAAAAAAAAAGATTACCACCTAAAATACATAAGAATTCTTACAAAACTCAATAGTCTGAAAGACCTTAAAAAAGCCAGATTTATGAAAGTCAAAAAAACTCAACAACCAGAAAAATGGAAATTAAAGTTTTTCACCCCTTAGTGTAAAAATACTTTTTATATCCGGAAAGGAGAGAGGAAAAGTAGTCTTCTAATGAATAAGTTTACCTAGAAAAATTAGAAATGCTCATATCCTGTAACTCAAAAATACTAATCATTGAACTATAGAGCAGTAATTCTTAAACTTGATGTGTATCAGCATCACATACACACCTTGTTAAAAATATGGATTGCTGGGCCTCGCCCCCCCCCACAAGTTTTCTTCCAGAAGGTCTGGGAGCATACATAAAAATCTGCATTTCTGACAAGTTTCAAGGTGATACTGCCATTTCTGGCCAAAGAACCTAACTTTGAGAAGCACTGCTCCAGAGTCTGGAGATACACTTGCATCTATGCAGAGAGAACAAGGATATTCACAGCAGCATTTATATTAATGAAAAGTGGAAATTACCTAAATGCCTATCAATAAAATATAGTATTTAGAATATAGCGTACCCGTACAGTGTGAAAAATAGAGCATTAAAAGGGATAAACTACATATGAATAGATCTCAAATTACTGGTCAGTTGAGGGGGAAAATGTCCATTGCATATACATGAAGAAAATTTACACATTTCTAGAAGTATTCAAAACAATGAACAGTATTATTCAACTCTCTACCTATCTTTTCAATGTTTGTGTATTGATATGATGATAAAGCTAGTAGACAAAGGATGAAAAATTGGAACCAAACCATAGGGCTCAATGAGGAAGACTCCACGAAAGAGCCATCAGAAGACTGATACCAGAAGAGGACAAAGAAGACTTGCCCCAGAAGTTGCAGTAGAGTAATGCAGCAGTTCTTCAAGGAAAGCAATTACAATTAAATCTTTGGCCACCTTTACCTGAATAGATCCCAATAGCAGAGGGGAAAGACCAGGACAGAATTCTATGGGAAGAATTTGACTGGGAAGCTCAGACATAATTACCAGAGAATTTACCTCTGAACCATTGGCTGTGCAACTTAAATACACAAGCTGGCTAAAGTTCTCACGGAGAGTTTTTGAAACAGGCATGCAGGCCATTCATTCCTCCGAACATACCAGCTTTTATAGCAGGACCAAATAAGACCATTATAAATTCACTACTTTAACTATCTCTTGGACCCTATTACTCTCAGTGAGGAATGGCTTTAGGCACTCCTTTCAGGGCTGTCACTGGAAGGTTATCCACTATGTGTCTCTATGTTAAGACCAAAAATTATATCTTTCAAGAAGTCTTTGTGTTTAAAAAAATAAGTATGTCTGTGTCCAAAATACAGTGTCTTCCTTTTTCCATGGTTATCAGAAACAGCAGAGACGTATTTGTGGATCAACTTAGAAACTCTAAGATATATAATGATCAGTATGTATCTATAAGCCAACCTGGCCTTGCTCCTGATCTGTTACTTTATATTTTCTGTAAAGTAAGATTTTTATCAATTACTAATTTTCCACATCTTAACATATGGACTCCTACAAATCTCACAAAGTCCACTGTAAAAAAAAAAAAAAAAAAGTGGGGAATGAACAAATAACTTACCTGGGACTTGTTCATTTTCTGCTGTCTTGGATAAATGCAGACAACTCTGAAGATGTGCTGGGTTACAAGAGGGAAGGAGCCATGGAAGTTCTGGTGTGCCTAGCAGCTCCAGAATCCTCCTGCCCTAAAAAACTACACACATCCAACAGACAGGAAGAATGTCAGTACCTCCGACCTTCGGATGCTGAAACACCCCCTATATAACATGACTCTGATATTATCATGTAGTAGCTCCTGGACATAACGTTTTTCACTGGGTAAATGTAAATATTTGCTCCCTGAGGATTTAACAGTTTAAACTTCCCCTGATGCTCACACACACAAAAATTTTTAAATAAACTAGTTTAGACCAAACAATACACCCAGTGAAATAACATTAACTCTTCACCAAAACTGTTTAAAAAATACTCCGGACTAACCTGTTTATCAATTTCCCTACTGTTACTAAACCCTTGGTTAGTGATTCCGCAGAAAGCTATAAAAAGCAGCGCTTTAGGGAGCCTGCCTCCTCCTCCTCTCTCTCTCTGCCTGCCTCTCTGCCTACTTGTGATCTGTCAAATAAATTAAAAAAAAAATCTTAAAAAAAAAAAAAGCAGCGCTTTGAGGAAAGGTCTAGGTTTCAATTTCTGTAGGTTTGTTGCCATTTTTCAAAAGGACCTTTTAAATGTAATTTGCTTTTCCTTGCGTGTAAAAGCAGACAGTTCTCTCTCATGAGTCAGGAGACACGACTTTTAGTCTTCGCCACTAACAGGGTGATTCTGAACAAGTCGCTAACCTTCAAGAGGGGAATTTATTTATTTTTTATTTTTTGCCATTAAATAAGACAAAAGCAGAGAATTCTTGACGACCCTTCGTAATGGCCAGGGCAAGTCAGGACTGATTAACAGCGCACATCGGGACGCAGTGTTAGGCACGGCTAGTGGGCAGCTCAGCCTCCAGGAAGAATAAGGGGAGAGCCGAGGGAACGGGTCTCCCCGAGGACGGGCGGTAATCGCACAGCCCAGGCGGGTGCGCCCCGCTTCCCCGACTACCGCACGTAAGCACCCACCGCGCACGCGTAGACGTCCTCCCCGCAGCGCCGTCTCCTCCCCGCAGCGCCGTCTCCTACCCACGGGTTCCGCACACCCACCGTGCATGCGCAAACGCCCTCCTCCTTCGGCCTCCAAAACGGGGCCCCACGAACAGCCCCGCACGTTCCGCGCAGGGGCCGATCACGTGGGGTCTTCGACCCCTAGTCTTGATGCAGACGTCCAAATCCTGCCGTGGGCGGGCCCGCGGATTTCCTCCACACTACTGGGCACCGACCCCCTACCACCGACCCGCGACCTCCGGGCAGCGCGGCGCCACACCTCGGCCTTTGTCCAGCTGTCCCGGGCTCACCTGTCGCTTCCTCGTTGGGAGGGACTGGCTCCAGAAAAGCGCGGACATTCAATGGTGCAGGAATCGCCTCCCACGCGAGACCTGAATAGAAGGGGGGGAGGGAGCGGTGGAAGGAAGTGCACAGAGGCAGAAAGCGGAACCAGGCATGCGCAGAAACAGGCATGCGCAGAACCTGGCAGTCCGGGCAATCCGTGCTACCAGTTAGAACTACCTTTCCCTGGTACCCGCGGTGCGAGATTGGCTGAGAGTGCAATCTTCTGTCGAGCACAAGAAAGTTTGGGGCTCTTGAGATAGCTCTCCAAGCAGTCAGAGCCCGTCAGGGACTCCCCACAGCTTACGGATTACAGCTGAGTTCTCTGTGCAAGTGTGCAATTTAGAGCTGTCAGGGAAAGGGAAACTGCATGTAACGTTCACTTTTTCAAATACTAGGCAGTAGATTCCACCAATACAATAAAAGAATGCTTACGGGCGCCTGGGTGGCTCAGTGGGTTAAAGCCTCTGCCTTTGGCTCATGAGGGTCATGGTCTCAGGGTCCTGAGATCCAGCCCCGCTTCCGGCTCTCTGCTCGACAGGGAGCCTGCTCCCCCCGCGGCCCCTCCCCTCCCCGTCTGCCTCTCTGAATATTTGTAATCTGTCTCTGTCAAATAAATAAATATAATCTTAAAAAAAAAATAAAAGAATGCTTAAAAAAATTGTATCTGACCATCAGCGATTCTCTCAGAAAATGAAAAGCCAGGGGGCGAGGGCGGGGTCAAGAAAGCTAGTTCATCAAAAATCATGAAAGCAAGAAACGAAAATTGTAGATAAATCATAAAACAGTCCAAAAATATATATATATTCATTTACATAAACATATTCTTTCCTCTGCGACATTAAGATTATTGAATAAATGAAGATCTATCCTTTCAGAGAATCAATATTCTTTGAAAACATTCCACTATGAATCTCATAAACTTTTATATACATCTTTTTCTCTTTGATTTTTGTATACCTTAAGTGTACTTCACAAAAGCATTCTCAACTTCATCTAGAATAAGTAAAAATCTAAAGTAACAGGAAACATTTCAAAAAGAAGAATCCCTAATAAGTATCAATATGCATAATTTTACTCGACTAAAGATAGTTTGCCATCTACTTCATGGAAACAAAGCCATGATTAGGTGTATGTTTTGAATGTAGTATAATAAATGTAGCACTTCAAAGTACTGAGGAAACAATGGAATATTCCAAACAGCAATCCCTTCCTAACAATTTGGAGTAAAGTTATGTACATAGATCACACATGGTACAATTCACATGGATTCAAGATTTAAAATAAAACACTAAGTTTAATAAAAATAGAGGTGACACGTTGTGACACCAAAAATATAAACCATAAATTAAGTATCTGATACATCAGAAAAATAACTCAGCTCTATTTTTTTAAAAGCTAAAAACAAATAAACCAGGAAATTATATTTTTACTATTTGAAAGAAAAGATGTATTAATTTAAAGAGAGATCTTTAAATCAACAGAAAGAAAATTTTAAAACGGGGTACAGAACTAAGCACTAATATAATGAATGACAATATATAAAGTGAAAATGAATGACAAATGTATATAAAAGTCCATTATCAGAATTGAAACAATGCAAATGCTTAAATAAAAACATGTAAGATATCATTGAGATTTAATTTTTTAAAATTTCTGTACACAAAAATTCACTCTGTAGTTTTATGAATTTTGCCAAATGCATAGGTCTGTGTAACCACCACCACAGTCAAAATACAGAACTGTTTCATCACAGCCCCCCAAATTCCTTCATGCTACCCTTTTGAAATCAAACTTTCTCACCACTCTTCTCCTTTGGCAGCTACTCTCTCTTCTTCATGCCTACAGTTTGCCTTTTCTGGAAAGTCACATACATAGAATCTTACCATGTGTAATCTTATGAATCTGTTATCTTTTACTTAGTACAATACATTTAAGATTCATCGATGTTGTTTCGTGTACCAATACACTTTTGGCTTTTATTTCCCAAGTCCTACTCCATGGTATGAATTCACCACACTTCACTTATTTCTTCCCCAGCCAAGCGACCTTAACTTCCAATTTGGGAAAATTATGAATAAGTAAAATTCCATTTTGAAGTATAAGACTCATATTTTTTAAAAAGAGTAATACAGAGTTAGGGTGTGTGCTTGAGAAAATACTTATTCCTATTCACTTTTACTGAGGGTTTAATTCATGTAAACTCGCTGGAGGTTCATTTTTATCAAATTCTGAAGGAATTTTAAAGATTTATTTATTTATTTATTTGACAGACAGAGATCACAAGTAGGCAGAGAGGCAGGCAGAGAGAGAGGAGGAAGCAGGCTCCCCACTGAGCAGAGAGCCCAATGCGGGGCTCAATCCCAGGACCCTGAGATCATGACCTGAGCCAAAGGCAGAGGCTTGAACCCACTGAGCCACCCAGGAGTCCCTCTGAAGGAATTTTAATCTGGCAATTCCACTTCCACAACTACACATGACTTTATAATAATGCAATTAATTTCCACTGATGTACATACAAGAATGTTTACATCCGTCAAAGTCCAGATGGGAACAGAAACCAAATATGACGAGAGGGAATTTTTTAAAAAGATTTTATTTATTTATTTGACAGAGAGAGATCACAAGCAGGCGGGGGTGGGCGGAAAGCAGGCTCCCTGCCAAGCAGAGAACCCAATGTGGGACTTGATCCCAGAACCCTGAGATCATGACCTAAGCCGAAGGCAGAGGCTTAACCCACTCAGCCACCCAGGCGCCCCAAGAGAGGAAATTTAACAGAATAGATTAAAGCAGGTATTTTTATTTTAAAGATTTTATTTATTTATTTGACAGAGATCAAGTAGGCAGAGAGGCAGGCAGAGGGGGGTGGGAAGCAGGCTCCCCGCCCGAGGAGAGCACCCGATCCCAGGACCCTGGGATCATGACCTGAGCCGAAGGCAGAGACTTTAACCCACTGAGCCACCCAGGAGCCCCTAAAGCAGGTATTTTTTTTTTAAGATTTTATTTATTTATTTGACAGACAGAGATCACAAGTAGGCAGAGAGGCAGGCAGAGAGAGAGAGGAAGGGAAGCAGGCTCCCCGCTGAGCAGAGAGCCCGACGCGGGGCTCGATCCCAGGACCCCGGGATCATGACCCGAGCCGAAGGCAGCGGCTTTAACCCACTGAGCCACCCAGGCGCCCCTAAAGCAGGTATTTTAAAGGCAAAAGTGAACACCAGGGTAACAGGGATAATGGCAGACGGCAGCTACCACCCCAGGGTAACATGATGGAAGAAGTCGAAGAATCCAAACTTAGCCCTCAAGAGAGGATTCCACACCTGAAGCAGGGGAGGTGCCTGGGGCATGTTATTGTACATATGGAGAGAAGAACCCAGCAGAACTGGAATTCAGACCTTCAGAGGGGGGCTGTCCAGTTCCTGCAGGCCTGTCAGAAGGGGGAGGATAACTCCTCTGAGGGGTGTCCTGCTCAGCTGGTGCTGCCTGTCAGAGAGGGATCAATATGGCTACATGTGAGCGAGCTAAAAGAAGCTGGAGAGTGAGAGAACCTGCTGGGATTAGATACTAGTGTTGGTTGCACAACTTTGTGAATATACTTGAAACCACTGAATTTTCTGCTCTTAAGGGAGTGAATTTAAAGATTTGTGAATTATATCTCAATTTTTAAATAATTCAATAAAAGAAGCTGTAGTGTACCACCAGTGACCAAGGTGAAGAGCCACTGCTGGGGTGCTGTTAAGGAAGCATTCTGCAAACAAGAAGAAGGAAGTTGGTCCTCCAGTAACCCTGTCCTCCAAACTTCCTGTAGGATCTCCTAGGGAAAAGCCTAACAGGCAGCGGGGTAAGTATGAAATGTGGTTTACACAGTCCAAGCACCAATATCCCAATGCACAGTAGAGGATTCTAGGTTTTGTGCAACTAAGCTATAACAACATAGCTATAACTAAGAGGATTCTGGGGGCGCCTGGGTGGCTCAGTGGGTTAAAGCCGCTGCCTTCGGTTCAGGTCATGATCTCAGGGTCCTGGGATCGAGCCCCGCATCGGGCTCTCTGCTCTGCGGGGAGCCTGCTTCCTCCTCTCTCTCTGCCTGCCTCTCTGCCTACTTGTGATCTCTGTCAAATAAATAAATAAATAAAAATCTTAAAAAAAAATAAAAACAGGATTCTGTAAAACTTAATTTATAAAAGCAAATACTAGAAACAAAATGTCCTTTTAGTTTGTGTAAGTAAAATAAAATTAACACCATATAGTGGAATGCTAAGATGCTATGATGCTCAACAAAAGAAACTGGTAATGCAGAGGTGTACTAACTTACATAGGGGGTTGATTACCAAATACCTTGAAATTAAGAATTTGGTTTATATAAGAATATTTAAGACAAGATCACATTAAAAATAAAACACAGAGAGGGGTGCTTGGCTGGCTTGGTCAGTAGAGCAGGCAACTCTTTTTTTTTTTTTTTAATTTTATTTATTTATTTGACAGACAGAGATCACAAGTAGGCAGAGGGGCAGGCAGAGAGAGAGGAGGAAGCAGGCTCCCTGCTGAGCAGAGAGCCTGATGCAGGGCTCGATCCCAGGACCCTGAGATCATGACCTGAGCCGAAAGCAGAGGCTTTAACCCACTGAGCCACCCAGGCGCCCCATAGAGCAGGCAACTCTTGCTACCAGAGTCATCGAGTTCGAGCCCCGCACTGGCATAAAGATTACTTAAAACAAAGGTGGGAAACAAAAATGTTCTAGAGAGTGACATCAACATGATGCTGTAGTATAAGACATTGGTTCCTCCTTTTTCTCTCTCTTTTTAAACAACTAATTTGACATCCATCCATGAACAAAAATGCCTTGGTGGTAGTTGTAGAACCCAACACTATATGCCAAGAGACCCAGAATGAGTCTCCTCTACCTGTGTACCTATTAATAGGCACGCGGACCTTGGTAAGAACTGCAGAACCAGCAGAGCCAGCAAACCTGCCTCAGTCCCTTTTGCCTTGGGAAAAAAACCTGGAGAGTGCTCACTTAGGACAGATGGATGGCAAAGAAAATATATAAATACATTCATACACAAACACACA